GGGGGGGGGGGGTCTTGTTAAAATCCAGGTGTTGATTCAGTGGGTCTGGGGTGGGGGCTGACATTCTGCATTGCTAATAAGTTCCAGGGGATGCCAGTGCTGCGGGTCTGTAGATCACACTCTGAGTAGCAAGGCTTTAGAATATTCTAAATATAGTTGGGAGGATGAACTATAGTGACAACCCTCTGAAAATAAGCATTGCTCTGAAAATAGATCATCGAAGTAGGTAACTGAAATGAGATCTCTTTTTGGTACACATGGCTATCTGATTGTTCTAGCACCATTTGAACTGACTTGGCACCTTTGATGAAAATCAATTGATCATCTATGAGCGGGTGTATTTCTGAATTCTCTATCCTATCTCATTGATCTATGTGTCTCTTTATGCCATCACGACACTGTCAGGATCATTTTAGCTTTTTAAATCTTGAAATCAGCTAATGTAAATCTTTGTCCTTCTCTAAAGTGGTTTAGGCTATTCTACATCCTTTCACTTGTTTTTATGTGTGTGTGTGTGTGTGTGTGTGTGTGTGTGTGTGTGTGTGTGAATACCTGAGAAATACCATCGGGAAATGGTAAGGAAATGAAACTAGAAATGGAAATAACAACTAGGGAAAAGACAGAACAATAACAAAACTCTGTGAAACTCCCCTTCTTCATAAGTGAACTTAGATTACACGTCTGAACTAAAACTGACTTGTTTATTTCATATTAAGAAGTAAGTGGGGGCACCTGGCTGGCTGAGTTGGTAGAGCATGTGACTCTTGATCTTGGGGTCGTGGGTTCGAACCCCATGTTGGGTATAGAGATTACCCCAAAATAAAATCTTAAGGGGCACCTGGGTGGCTCAGTCATTTGAGTATCTGACTTGGGCTCAGGTCATGATCTCCATGATCTCACGGTGAGTGAGTTCGAGCCCTGCATCAGGCTCTGTGCTGAGAGCTCAGAGCCCAGAGCCTGCTTTGGATTCTGTGTCTCCCTCTCTCTCTGCCCCTCCCCCGCTCTCTCCCTCTCTCTCAAAAATAAATAAACATTTAAAAAATAATAATAATAATAAAATGTTTAAAACAAGAGAAAGTGAACTTAGAAAAGTTGGATCAGTTTGCTAAACACACAATTTCTACATTCAAAGGACCTGAGTAGACTTATAGTGAGAAAAATTCTACTTCTACAGGTTTTCTATCAACCATGTATCCAAGTGTTAGCAGAGTTTGTTACAAAGTTGAACTAAAGGGAAAAAGGAATTCTAAACTGTTCTCTTGTGTTCTGATCATTTAAATCCACTTAGAATATTTAGTGAAAAACTCAAACTAAATAGTGCTATCACATTTTTATAATAAGATCAAAAATTTTTTTAAATATATTTGTGTGAGTATTTTTTATGGAACAAAAGAAGGAGACACAGTAAACTATTAACAGTGATCACCCCAGGAAAGTGGAAGTCACAGCACAGAGAGAAAAGGCATGAGGTGGTTTTCTTTTTAAAAAAATCTCTGTGCTATTTCCTTTTTTTCCTAACAGTTACTTTGTAATTTAAATAAAAACTGAATTTATTATACAGCATTTTTATGAGTTTTAATATACACACAGTGCTTTCCAGTCATGACCTCTAAGTTTTTCATTTGCTCCAGCTTGTGGACAGTAGGGGCCACCAAGGGCAGATCCAAGAGAATTTCAGTTCCTGGAAAAGTCTCATTATGTAACCTCAGAAAACCAAGAATTGATGATATTTTATAGGAACAACGACAAGCTCATTCTGTACATAAATGTAGCACGACTTTATTCCTCAAGATGTAGGATAAATATCAACTTTTGCATTTGAAGTTATTCTATATAAATGAACAAATATTGTTTCCGGAACACCATATTCCATATGAAAACACAAAGTCCATTTGATACATTCTGAAACTGAATTAAATTTTCTCTGATATTGCCTGAGAACACAGAGAAAAGCAGTCTCTTTTTATTTTCTAATATTCTTCAGAGAATAAATGCCGTACATCCTGAATCTGATCAGAAACTCCCAGGGGCACCTGGGTGGCTCAGTTGGTTGAGCATCTGACTCTTGATTTCAGCTCAGGTCATGATCTCACAGTTTGTGGGTTTGAGGCCCGCATACGGCTCTATGTTGACAGTGCAGAGCCTGCTTGGGATTCTCTCCCTCCCTCTCTGCCCCTCCTTCCTCAAAATAAATGCATAAATATATTTAAAAAAAAAAAAAAGAAAACTCCCAGGCTGTATGGTCTTCTATCCTGAACACATTCCATTACTGATGATTTCAGATGGACCATACTTTTCATGTAAACTATTTCCAGAAGGCTACAGGAAAATAACCTTTGATGTACGGTTTATAAAAGGCTAAGTATAAGAATGCACGTTTTTCTCAATCATTGTCGTGTATAAAGGCCAAAGGAGCAAAACCTACACTGTAGATCCTTGTTATTACAAGTAGGGTCCGTGGGCCAGCAGTAGTGGCAGCACCTAGGAACTGGTTAGAAATGGAGAATCACACATCCTGTCCCAGAGCTAATGAATCAGAAATTACATTTTTTATTTATTTATTTGGGGGGGAGAGAGAAGAAGTGGGGGAGAGGTGGAGAACGAGGGGGACAGGGGACTCAAAGCAGGCTCTGTGCTGACAGCAGAGAGCCTGATGCGGGGCTCAAACTCACAAACTGTGAGATCATGACCTGAGCTGAAGTCAGATGCTTAACCAACTGAGCCACCCAGGCACCTCAGAAACTACATTTTAACAAGATTCTCAGATGATTCCTATGCTGTAGATAGAATTACTGTATATATACTGGTATATATACCCAGAACTCAGGGCATTGCAGGGCTCGAACCCATGAACCGTGAGATCATGACCTGAGCTGAAGTCAGATGCTTAAGTGACTGAGCCACGTAGGCGCCCCCAAAATTTTAATACAAAGAAAAGTGATGAGTATTTTTAGAGCCTTATATAAGGAATTCATTCCAAATATTTTTTAGCTGATAAACAGAGACACTCTTGAAACATAATGCTTAAAAAAAATATTACCCGCCTGCTGGGCTGTTTAATGGTGAAATAACTTAGTCTGTACATTTCAAGTGCAATTTAGATACTACATAGATGTTAAGAAACTAAAGCAACATAAAATGTACATTGTGAAAGAAACATCACCTCACTCGATGGCTTTAAGAATTTTTTTCCACTGAAATAGTTGTAACCATGTCCTTCGGTATGAAGAAAAATTTTAAATACGATGACAGGTGGAAATGTTTCACCACTAAATCTGAAATAAAGACCCAAAATTAGTCATCTGGCATCAGGCTTGGGGCTGAGTTACTTCTCCTCCGTAACAGGTAACAAAATGGATTACAGAGGTGAAAGAGTCACACTTTGGTGTGTGGGCTCACAACTATTCTCATTCGTGTGTCAGATTGGACACATCATGGAAAAGGAGCCACTCTCAAGGCAACTTGTGGCCCAAGAGTCATGTCTCTGTTTCTCCACATAATAAATGAAAATAAGAACAACACATTTACTCTGTAATTATACCCTGAGAACTTATGAGGACTTAAGAAAATAAATTTCTAAGTTTTCTTCATTTTAACTAAGTGCTTCTTGAAATAAATCAGTATAGAAATATTACCTGAATCTAACTTTACACTTCATGCTAGGATCTTTCACAAGCTCAGCCTCTAAGGGGCTCACTTCCTTCAGTATTTGATGTGTCACACGAAGTTCCTGAAATAGATGATGATGCTAACAATGGAAAATGGTACCCTGCCCAGACGTAATTTACTGAAAATAACAGAGGTGGCATGGTGAAGTGAACAGTACACCAGACTTGATGTTCTAAAGACCCAGGTTCTAGTCTTGGCTCCTCCGTTTATTACCCGTGTAGCCTTGAGTCAGTTACTTCATCCTTTTAGCCTCCAAGTTTGAGTAGGTGTCCCTCCTTGAGATCCCAGGCACTGTTTTTTCCCTCTGACAACACTTTTCACAATGTACTCTAATTAACTATAAACTAATCTGTGTCTTCCACTAGACTGTAAGGGGCGTGAAGGCACGGGATACTGTCTTTTTACTCTATCATGTGTTCTTAGCATTTAATACAGTCCTTGGAATACAGCAGGTGGTTAACAAATATTTGGTATTGAATGAATCACTGTAAAATGAGGAAAATAACTGTAATGTCACTAGCTTTTAAGCACCTTTTATATACCACATGCTCTGTTAACGCCTTATATACATAACCTCATTTAATCTTTACCCCTCAGCAATATTATTCAAACATTATTGTTCTCAGCTTTCCAATGAGCAGGCTGAAACTCTGGGGGTATCTGTAATTTATTCAAAGGCACGCGGGTAATAAATGGACAAGCCAGGATGCAAACATAGATCTCTTTGACTCTAAAGCCCCCACCCCCTGCCCCCATATGACCCGGCCAACCTTTATGCCTATGACAATCACATAAAAAAGTACACCAAAGGCCTTTTATAATGACAAATCATTATTAATGTAAGGTAGGATCTTGAAGTGTCAGGACAACAGATTTTTTAAAAAAAGAATTAATTTCCTTTTTTCTGTTACCCTAAGCATCTAAAGTTATACCAAAACCAGTATTATGATAATTAAATGCCAGTGCCATACATGAAGACAATGAACGGGTAATGGACCTGAACCGGCACCCACTTACCTGAGTGGGTTTTCCCTGAGGTATTCTGCTTACTGGCATCAGAAATGGGTCTGTGGCTCAGATGGTGAAGAAGTGTACAAGCTGCTCAGAGCTGCTAAAACTCCCTTAATGTGACTATCACTAATTACAGACTACTGTAATCAGGGGTGATATGCTTAGAATACTTGGTACTATATGAAGGAAAGCTTAATACTCCGCTGGCGTTGCCAGAGTTGTTCTTTTGGAGAGTGGAGGTGGGGCATGCCCACCTTTGGGGTGTTTTTGTTTTTGCTTTCGTTTCTGTTTTGTACTTAAATAGGACCATATTACTCACACTGCCCTGCACTTGCCTTTTTTACTAATGAGCTATCTTAGCTGCCTTTGTTTGTATTGCAGAATCACAGGCAAGGCTGCGAGGTTTAACACTACGAAAGCACCAAGGCTTATTTAACTAGCATCCCATACGTGAACACTCTATGGTTTACTTTCTCTGCTGTTACAAACAATACTGCGATGAAACTGTACATGTGTTGTAGAATGCATTCCTAGAAGTGAGATTGCCGGCTGGAAGGTAAGGGCACTTTTAATTCAGAGATTTTTCTTGTTGATGATCACTGGCCCACATCTTCAAATAAGAAATCGAAATTTTTAAAAGATCTTATTTTGGTTTCAGAAAAGGAAATAATAGGCACGTCATTTACAAATAAATCCAGAAATATTCATTTAGGGCAATCCTAGAACCGCATGCGTTATTATTAGGTTCAAATAGGACATCAAAAAAAGGTTACATGTTCTATCTTTACTTCACACACCTTTTAGCTTGTAAGTAATTAAATCTTCCAGAGAAAACAAAAAGCAAAATACATACTGCTGCACGAATCGTGTGCTTTAGGAGTTGAAATATTGTTTGGTCCATATGAGATAACCAAGCTCTCTGTATCCTTTGGGCTGAAATATCTTTATTAGTTCTGAGAGGGAACAAAAAGAGGTTAAGATGAGTGAAGTAGTTTCCATTTTCCTAAAATCTTGGGGAACTCTGAATTTCTGCTTCTTCCCCCTGTACCATCCCATCCCCCACCCTAAGACTGACCTATGAGGAACATTTCGATGTGGTAATTGGAACTGGTCATTTGCAGAATTTAGTCAGAAGGAGGATATAAAATATTTGAGAATATTTCCCTTGAGATCAAAAAAAAGTCCCAGCTAAAACTGTATCAGCAAAAGTATATATATTATAAATAAAAACGTGTGAAGGGACAAATCTGCTTTCTTGAAACATCCGTGACCTAAAATGATTCCATTACAGTTAGTTCTTTAAAACACTGTCCGACTAGTCCAAGTCAATGAAAATAGCATGCAGAATACTCAAAGTTACGGTAGGTCCAATTTTCTTCTGGGAACAGACAACCATGCCCCAAAAAGAGAAACTCCCTTCTTTGATCTTTGCTTGAACCAGGCTCACCCCGTCAGGTCAGGTAAAAGAATTATTTTACTTTTGATCATGTGTCAGCACTAGCGAATTGTAGGGACCACCCTTTCCCAACCTCCACCCCCCCATCCCATCATTACCCCTCACAAGGCTTCATGTAAAGAGAAGTAAGTACTCTTTTTTTTTTTAACGTTTATTTATTTTTGAGACAGAGAGA